AGAAAGCGAGTGGGGAAATATTCCTACAGATTTTCCCCATGGGGGTACCTTTTTTACCGGGACCTTTTTTTCCAGGGACCCTTTTTTCCGTACCTTTTTTTTCCAGGGACTTTTTTTACCGGGACCTTTTTTTCCGTACCTTTTTTTCCGGGACTTTTTTTTCCGTCTACCAGCAAAATAGTTTCAAAAATAAGAAAAATAGTTTCTTTTTTTCTAAAATTACCAGTTTTTCTTGACTTTGTTTTTGCAAATATCTAAATTTCGGAAGATGTTTTTTTTGCCCCCACACTTTAATTTCTAAAGAAAATAAAGTGTTCTACATGGAAAATAATTTCAAAGTTGAAAAAAATTTCTTTTTTAACTTACCAGTTTTACTTGACTTTATTTTGCATAAATTCTAGAAAGGATGAAACACATTTTTCTTACCCTCATTCAAAAATAAGAAAAAAATGTAAGTTTCTTTTTTTTGGAAAATAGCTTCAATGTTGAGAAAAAAAATTCTAAAATAAAACTGCCAGTTTTACATGAATTTATTTTTGTGATTGTTGAAATTTCAAAGATGCAGATCCAAAGTCCATTTTTTGCCGTATCACTTTAATTTCGAAAGAAAATGAAGTATTCTAGTTGAAAAAAAAAAAACTTCAAGTTAAAAAAAAAAATTCTTCTTTTACTTTGCCAATTTATTGACTTTATTTTCGCGAATATCTAAATTTCAGAAAGGGAGAATTGCATTTTTTGCCCACTTTAATTTGAGAGGAAAATAAAGTTTTCCATTTGAAAAAATCCTCAAAACTGAAACTCTTTCTAAAATTGCCAATTTTACTTGACTTTATTTTCGCAACTTTATTTTCTAAATTTCAGAAGGGGTGAAACACATTTTTCGCCTCCTCTTTTAAATTTTAGAAGAAAATAATTTTTGCTTTGAAAATAGTTTTAAAGTTAATGTTTTTAATAAAAAAATTTACTTAACTTTATTTTCACTTACGTCAAAATTTCAAAAGGAGTGAGGCACTTTGTTCATCTCCTCATAACAATTTCAGAAGATTATAATGCTTTCTACCTTGAAAATAGAGTCAAATTTATAAAATAAAAAAATATTTTCTCTAATTTGACTTCATTTTACCACTAGTCAAAAGAGACATTGTTCGAACCTTCAATTTAATTTCAGAACAAAATAAAGTTTCCTAGTTTGAGAATAGCTATAAAGTTGAGAAAAAATAGCTTTTTTTTCTTTAAAATTACAAATTTTACTTTAATCTCTCTTGGTGAACGTCTTAATATCAAAAGGAGCAAAGAACATTTTTCTCCACAGACAAAAATTTCAGAGGAATATAAAATTTTCTTTTTTTTTAAAGGAGGCTTTACATTTTTTTTAAAAAATTCTAAAATAAAAATAATAAAATTTTACTTGACTTTATTTTTGAGAGTGTCTAAACTTCAGGAGAGGTGAAACACATTGTTTGCCCCCTCACTTAAATTCCAGAGGGGGCGGGTGTCCCCTCTGCCCCCCTAGTTGGCACGCAACTGTTTAAAATCAAAAATGAGCCAAAATCATTTAATATTTTTTTAACACTATACAGAATAAACTTGTTGAATCAATGTTTCAATAAAATTAAAGAACTCACAGATTTGTCAGTTGTTTAATCATGTATTTGACTCTAATATAAGTTTAAATTCCAAATATTTTTGCTAACCTCTTTCTTTAATAAAAAATAATTCTTAAATGGTAGTGTTAATGTGCATTGATATAATTTTAATTCATTAACCATATTATTAAATAAAGACATGTTTCTAAATTTGTTTAATGACCTCCATAATGAGAAAAATTTAAAATTTGTATTTCAACAATTATTTTTAAACCAAAAAATAATTTACCAAATAAAATACATTTTGATTTTAAGTATTAGAAAATAAGAATCAACTAATTTTTTCTACTTTAATAAAAAATGTATTTATTAATTCATGAATTTAATTAAAAAAATTAATTATGAATATTTAAGTTTATCATTCCCTTTCTTATTGAATTTAAACAAAAAATAATTTTAAAACTAGAGGTAGTCGGACCTCTATAATTTTACACTCGCTTAATTCGTCACTCCGGTTATTTCGACGTTTTTTTTCAAGTCCTGATTGATTTGCATTGGATTCAGTGTTAACAAACTCCGTTTAATGCATCATGGGGAAATTATGAACTCCCGATAAAATAACACTTCAAAGAATGTCTTCACTGAGAAATTGCTTTTCTCCAGTCAACTTTTGCAGAAATTTCCACTTGGCTAATTTTGCCATTCGCACTAGGCAACTGGTTCTTGGAGTTCAGACACTGGAAGCGTTTTTCCCCTGCCCTTTTGTCTCACCCCTCCTTCCACCACCTCTTGCAGAAAGAGTTGCAATAATGCTCCTTATCTCTGAACTTACGAGGGGGTAACGGCAGGGGCGGGGGGAGGGAACAGGTGGCAGAAAACGAGCATCTTGGAATGCGTGCCTTTTCTTCTCTCTCCTGCAAAACTTAGTACGGCGTAGCGGTGCGGTGGTATCTCGAGTCTCTCTAGTCTTTAGTTCAGTGCCATGGCGAGTAAACTTGGTTACAAATCTTGGACATTGGATAAAAAGCTCCAAATGATAAGAGAATTTTAGCAATCTGGAATGTCAAAGGCTGCTTTTGCAAAACGGAAAAGAGTCCCTCGCACAACGTTCATTGCCATTTGATCCTTAAAAGACAAAATTGAAAGTTCTTTGCGTGTTCAGGATGGCGAGAAGAGAAAGAGAATACGTGTTTCGACCTTCGAAGACGTTGAAAATGCCCTTGTTAAATGGTTTAGAATGGCCCGAGCCTAAAACATTCCAATTTCAGGACTTATCTTGAAAGAGAAAGCTTTGCAATTTGAAAACGAACTGGGTGCTTCGGAGTTCTCGGCGAGCAATGGCTGGTTTGAACGGTTCAAAGAGAGACATGGACTTTCCTTCAAAAAGATGTGCGGAGAAGCAACGGCCGTTGATATGCGTCCAGTTGAAGAATGGAAAAATGGTTTCTTAAAAGATGTTCTCCAGTGTTATAACCCTTGTGATGACACCTTGATGAGACAGGTCTCTTTTTTCGACCTGTGCCTGACAAGACTTTGACTTTTCAATCAGAGGACTGCTCAGGTGGGAAGAAAAGCAAACGAGTTACCGTTCTGATAGGAGCAAACACGGATGGTTCCGAAAAACTTAACCTCTGGTCATAGGCAAAAGTGCAAAACCAAGGTGCTTCAAAAATGTGAAGTCTTTGAGTGTATGATATGAAGCAAACTCAAAGTCTTGGATGACCTCCAATGTTTGGAAAAAAACTCTGAAAGAGTTTGACAAAAAATTCCATGTAACAGATCGTAAAGTGGCGTTTGTTGTGGACAATTGCACAACGCATACTGAGGTAAGAAACCTTCAATCAGTGGAGTTAGTTTACATGCCGCCCAATGCCACCTCAGTTTTACAGCACCTTGATCAAGGAATCATTTCCAGCTTCAAGAGACACTATCGGAAACATCTTGTAAGAGACTAGATTAAAGCCATTGGTGAAGGCAGAGAATGGAAACTAAATCTCTTAGATGGCATAAATTACATCCACAGGAGTTGGGCTGATGTGACCAATAAAACCATCAAAAACTGCTTCAGGCCTGCTGGATTTGTTGAAAGTCCAAGCTCGTCAGAAGATGTTAATGATGATGAAGATGATGACGTCCCTTTATTTGAATTGCTCAGGCAACTTAAAGAACGCAACAAAGATGTGATGGATAAAGAAACATACCTTAGAATTGACCAAAATCTCGTGACATCTCCAGAACTAACCGTCTCAGAAATCGCGAACGAAATCCGCGAAAGACATGTTCCAGCATCTGAAGAGAGTGAAAGCGAGGATGAAGTGGAAGATCCTCCTTCCAAAAATGAAGCTCTGCAGTGCATTGAAGTTCTAAGAAAATATTTTTCTTCAATATCTGGCACTGAGGAAGATTTGAACTCTGTGTACAAACTCGAAAAAAGAATTATGCTAAGTAATCCCCTTACCAAACAAACCCGTATTGATGGTTTTTTCATTCCTAAATAAATAAAAGTAAGTATGTAAACCATACTGTTTGTCATTCTACTGATGCTATATTTTAATTGAATTGTTTTAAAGCAAATTCTTTAAAGTTTTTTTTTATTTTAAGAAATTGAAATTTCGCTGCTGTATGTAATAATTGTCAATTTATGGGTATTTTCCCAATTTTTTGATGAACAATGCAACTCAGGTTTATTCGTCACTCCGCTTAATTCGTCAGTTTTTCAGAGGTCCCGAGAGTGTCGAATTAACGAGGTTTGACGTATTTTATTAATATATTTTTAAATAACTTTGCTTGCTGTAGGTGAGTGATATTTATTTTTGGGAAATTCAAGAAGGAAATAGATATTTCAAAACAGTAAAGTGTTCAAATACATGCAGATGTTGCTAATTGATGTGAACTAATGCCAATCCAGTTACCATTCCATTTTAAATAGCCTTAAGTAGTATTTTTAAAAGTATTGAATGAAAAACCTATTTTTAAATACAAATTAATGTAATTACATTATTTACGTTTATATACCAATATAATATACAGAAATATATAATATATACATTAATATGGTTTATACATTAATTTACGCAAATACTCTAATTAAATTAGCTAGCCATGGTAAACCATTGACAATTCAAAATGCGCATGCATCATCACATCTGATCACTGAAAATTTTGAGATCGATTGTTAGTCAGCTGTTAGGTTTTTAGTAGATCACCCCTGGTCTTTGTATTGCTCAGTAATGAATATGTCTATGAGTAGACTGGATGGATCGTGGGGGTAGTTTCCATTAAATGATTTTGCAGTAATTCTTACATTTATAATGACATACACAAGGTCAGTTATACCCAATCTTTTTCTTCATTCAAATTTTAAACAAAACATTTGGAAGAGAATAGTAATAAATTGAAACAAAAATAGCATACCAGAAACAGTAGGAGAGTCTTCTACAATTGTAGTAGATGAAGTTAGATGAGGAAGAGGGAAAGTAAGAATGACTCCGGCACTAGTACCAACCCAAAGAATATCCTTAGAAGCTAGCATGGCTGTAACCCTTAAACAGGCTGATTTGTGTTGCTTGATTATATCATCTGTTTCTAAAAAGATTGAAAAAAGGTGAGAGCTTAAATAACAATGAACATAAAAATAATGAAAATCATGTAAAGAAATGTTATTGTATGGTATTTTTAAGAGAATTTTTGAAACTTTTTTTCTTTTACCATCATGTTGCTTTTTCCTGAAAATATAATATTGTAAGAAAGAAGGAAATTTTTCATTTTTAAAATTTTTCTTTAAAAATGTAACATTTTATTCATGATTTTTTCATGAGTTTTTATTCATGAACTTTTTATTAAGGTTTTGCATTTTCAAGGTTTCACATACTTTTTTTCCTTAAAAAAACATGTCTTCCTTCTTTTCTTTTATCCGCATTTATATCATAACAAAAAAAATTTTAAGAGCGTTTTTGATAGAAATTTTTTATTTTTGTTTTTTCTTGAAAATGTGGTAACATGGAAAACTGAGACTTTTTTAAAGTTTTGACATCAGAATGAAGAACGATTTTTTTTACAGATAAAATATTGTTTTTATTAATGCTTTTATTAAGGCCCAGTATTTTTTTAATGTATTTTTGTCTTTCTTTATTAAATTGACGTTTTATCTCTACTTTTTCCTCAAAAATGATAACATACGAAAAATGAAACTTTCATCATAAATGTTTTGATGCAAGAGCTAAGAACGATTTTTTTAGTTTTTCTTTTCTTCTTATTTTTAATAAATGTTTGTTCTTATCGACGATTATGGGTGCTGCATTTTTAAAAAACATTTCTGAAACTTTCTTTATTGTCATTTTTTCAAAAAGTAGTTTTTTAATCGCTTTTTAAAATAGTAACAGATTTTAAGAAAATGGTTAAGGACTAACAGTTACTCATCTACTAAAAAGAAATGGGCAAACAAACGGTATATCCCCTAAACTTATAAAATCCATAGCAGGAAAGTCAGGTATGAGATAGTCAGAAAGTAAAAAAGAGGAAATCCAAGAATGATATATATATANTATATATATATATATATTATATTTAACTGTAAGTAAACTAAAAATATACTAGATATCACATATCATTTATATAAAATTTTATTAAAAGGTTGATTTGAACGGTTTTCAAAAAACAGAATTAACCCAGAAAAAGATCATTGAAATAAAAAATTTATAAAAAAGTGTGAGTTATTAAGAGAAAAAAAATATACTATTTTTAGAATTACATTTAGTAAAATATTTGCTGCATACAATTTTATTCGTTAATAAAAAGATTAATGAAAGTTAAAGAATACTATTTCTCTAATAACATGAGAAAACTGTGATTGCATTATTCCGATCATTGGATACCCTTTGTTCATTTTTTTTGCTCTTGGATACATTTTTATAAGGTCGCCATAAATTACAAAAGGTGTCTAAATTAATTTTTGTCCCTTCGTCGGCCAATGGGTTAAATTGGTTTTTAATTCCAACCAATATACCTTTTCTAGAACAATACAAAATCCCTTTCTTTCTTCAGTATTAATATTTTATAAAAATTGCTGCCAAAAAAGTAGGAAGCAGTAGTTATATATAAGTTATCTATAAAAAGAATATAAAATTGCCTTAAAGTAATTTAATGTAAAACTATTAAAAATACACTCTGAAAATAAAAATAAAAAACTCAGTCTGTAAAACAATCAATTCCATTACTTCAAAAATTATCTTCTTTGTTTTTTGTTATATCATCTCACGATACTTTTTATTAATACTTATGTTATGATTTTTCCATAACTCATAGAATTCTTTACTTAAGATAATAGTGTCGAATTTAATCTTATCGATTTAGTTGGTCTAGTCGAAAAGTGTGAACGTATGAAAACCTAGAGTAATGACATTACCACAGACCAATCCTAAAAATTTCCTTTTATATAAAGTTGGAAAAATAAACTGCATTGTTAAATTAGCGTGAAATGAGCAGATATTATTAAATTTCCCTCTGTTAGAAAATTGAGAGGGCCACTGACACCACCACTGTTTTGGGGTTTTCAACTTAACGTTACATTTTGTTAAACACTATAAGATTTAGAAACTTCAAATTACGAAGATATGTAGGAAATTGTACGGAGATTAAAATGAAATAAGAAAGCATTCGATATTTAATTCAAGAATTTTTTACTCTTAAACTTGTTGGAAAAATAACATGTGGGCTGCTCTATAGCAGCGAAAATGCAGCTTCAGAAGTTAAATTTGGTATGCTGAAAAAGCCAAATTTGTCTATAAACGAAACATAACCTTTTTTTCCTTTCTGAAATACTTATTTGCTTGAAAGTTATTGCAATTTAAAAGGTTCTTTCTATTTTTTTCCCTAACTAATAAATATTTATTGATTGTTGCAGAAAAATTTATCATTTACGCGATTTTCATAATATCCCTCTTAATATCAAAAATAACGAAAAGAAAGAAAAAAAAAAATATTATATAGAAAAAAGATTAGGTGTTGACAAATAATAAAATTTCGACATTTCAGATCGAAATGTGAAAATATATATTGAATAAAGAGAAATAAGAATTGTTTCCAATATGATCTGTTAACAAGAAAAATTTCTTCTAATTTGTTTATTCCTTTTATTGTGTCGTAAATTCGGACTTTCTAAATGTTATTTTTTAAGTACAGTAACTCATTATTCAAATCCAGCTATCCTTTATATTTTTTTACTATTAACATAGCAATATAATCTGCTTAAATAATAGTATAATAATTATATATTTTCTAAACAAAATGATTTTTAATAAACTTTTCAGGAAAAAAAAACTTTTAAGAAAAATGTGGAAGGACGGTTTATGCCCAATGAGAGTTCTGAGGAGAAAAAAACGAATTTGCGAGCTTGCATGAACTGCTTTTCCACAGAACATCTTCAATGCGTAATAACTCTCGGCGAGAACCGTGTTTCCTTGTTTTCCATTTGTCAAAAATTAGTAATCCTTAAAATGCAACCGCTAGCAATCCAATCGTAATTTTGATTCAAAAAAATGGACGGAAATGATTCTTACTAGATCTTCAATGATGATTGAGAAACAACTACAAGAATTGTTGAGCGTAGCGAACAGGTGATGGAGCCTCCATGTAGAAAACAAGGATGCTCTAAAATAAATTGTGTCGAGCAACTATGTATTATTTGTAAGCGTATAATACATATTTAAAATCGTCTCTAAAAGGGACTGTAGAAGCTGATCAATTGATAACAATTAATCTGCTGCACTCAAGGTATAAATTATCGGCCCTATCTGAAAGACATTTTTTTAAAATTAAATATTTGTATGTATGAGAAATATGGCGTGTTTTTGAATTTTTTTTAATTGAAATTAAACTTTAACCGGATTTCAATAAATTAATTCTAAAAGAACTGCGCTCATTAAAAAAGAGGTAGGAAAATGATTCATTAGATTCGTTTTGTACTATGAAAATTGTCCTGTTATCGGTGGCATGAAATACTATTTCATTTTTCACCTATTTATAGTTAAAAGAGCTCCACAAAGTTCTAATTACAAAATCATATTAATTCCTCTAAATAGTTATACCTTTTCTAAAAGATTTACTTGCTAATTGACCGTAAATTTAAAACTATACCAACAGTTTTATTGGGCAAACAGATAAAATATCGGTACTCTTAACATTATTTTTATATTTCAGCCATATTTCTGCTATTAATTCCTGAGATATAAAACAAAGCACAATTTTAAAAGTTGTTAACCCAAAAACCCTTGTGGGAAAAAAACAATGTTTTTAATGCATGTATAGGAAACATTTTTGCAAATAACCTTTAAAAATGATTAAATGTGTGTTTATTATTTTGTATTGTCACTGTAAGTAATGTTTCATTCATTTTTCTACAACTAGGGAACATTACTAGGGAATGAGTAAGTTTTCACAAAATGTATTTTTATTTGAATATTATATCGACTTCGTAGGAAAAAAAATTGGTAACTTTTTTTAAATCATGTTATAACTTTTGTATTTTTTCCAGTTTATTCAGTATTTATATTATCATTCGAATTGATGTGATGAATTTGAGTATAAAGAAAGATTGAAACAGAGAAATTTAATACGAAATTCAGAGGCCTACGAAAAACTTGGGAGAAAAAAATTTGTTGACAAAAATAATTTAGCTTTAAAAACAACAAGTGTATTTTGCACAAAATTATGAAGATACATTGCAGATAAAGTTCGGTATTGCAAATAAAGTTCGATAAACAAATTTGTAAATTAAAATCCATATTAATAAAAATGTAAAAAAAAAAATATGCAAGAAAATTTTAGCATATATTTTGAAAAGAAGGGAGGAGTGGGGGAAGGGCCCAAAAACGGCTATGCCTAGGGCCTAGGAAAGGTATAATGCGGCTCTGAGGGGAGTTATGGATTTCAGTTTCAATTAGCGGTTGAGATATATTAAACTGGGTCAAATCCTCAATGTTCCATATGCTACATTCATTTGTGGTTGTTAAAAATTTATTTCCTCTTAATGATTCGTTAAATTTGACCGATCGCTCTTTAATTACATTATTTTTATTGACATCATATATTCTATTAGCGCGCCTTTCTTTAGAATAACACACGAAAATCCCACGTTTTCCAGGAACATAAAATTTTTTTCGGAATTGTTTAGGTATATGAAAAGAAACGACGTATCCAAATACTTTTAAGTAGTTAAGTTTAGGTCCTTTTCCTGACCATATTTCAATAGGAAGATTTTGTTTATTTTAACGTGGTGTAATAATAAATGTGAGTGCTAAAATCAAAATTTTGATGGTAACTCACTTTCATATAATAATGTCCCAGCCCTTTCTACTAATACTCTTATTACTCGCTCAGCGTGTCCATTTGACCAAGGATTATACGGTACTGTTTTTCATGTATGATCCTGTATTTTTCTAGAAAACTATCAATCTGGTTATTAACAAACCGTTATCTGTTCTGAATCTTTTGATTTTCTTATTCATTGCATTTTCATATCTTTCCTTAAGCATACAAAACATTTAAAATACTTTATGTTTACGCTTCAAAAAAAGTACATCCTAGAAAAATCATCCACCAGAACTAAAATATCTTGAAGTCCCTAATGAATCACAATTTATTGGGCCTACTAGGTCCGAATGAATTAACTCTAATACAGAATTACTATGTGCAATATTAATTGTTGGATGACGCTTATGGGTTACTTTACTCATGTCACAAGATTCACAATGATAATTTTCAAAATCTTTAAAATTTATGCTAAGGACATTTTGCATTTTAACCATGTATTGTGGATTTAAATGAAAAAGTCTTTTATGCCAAATATTATAAGTATCCAAATTACTTACTTCATTACATTCTAACTCAGAATTATTTACATCTTTATAATCAAAAAATTTAGGTGAAACATTATTACAAGGTTCATTGAAATTTCAAAACGATTGTTTACTTTTACAGCTTTTAAAATAATGTGACTGTCATTATTAAAATATCATTACCATTAGATTCATGCCCGGCTGGGCGCATGTGCGGGTGTTCGGATCGCGACCCCCTCGTCTGAGCATTCGCGGTGGCGGGTAATTTCCACCGTGTGCCCGAATTTGGGCGGATCGGATAAACTATTTCTTACCATTAGATTCAATTTTATAACCTTTATCAATTAATTTAGATACTGAAATTAAATTGTTTCGTAAATCTTCTACATATATAACATCATATATTGCTAGATTTTTTCTGCAATTATCAACTGTTGTAGTAGCTTTTACAATAGCAATACCTTTAGAAATTCAATTTGCTTTCTTGCCTGCTAACTGTATTATTCCATTAACATGATTTATGTTTTCAAAAAAGTTTAAATCTTTTACCATGTGTGAAGCAGCACCAGAATCCAGAATAAAAACAGTTTTGTTTTTACCTGCAGCACTAGAATTTACGTGATGTTGTTTTTCTTCGGTGGTAAGTGCAAAATTTTTTCACTAGAATGTCTATCTTGATTTTCAAATGCACAATGAGCATTATTGTTTTTGGTTTTGTTCATTCTCGATTTATAGTTCGAAATTCTTCTTATTTCTAGAGATGTTGTTTGGTTTTGATTTCCATCGTTCTTGGTTCGGAAATAGCAGTCTTTAACTAGGTGATTCGTTTTAGGGAAGATGAAACATTTCTTGGTGCTTCTATTTTCATATTTATGTTTTACTCCGAATGCTTCTGTTCTTCTACGAATATAATTTTTTAATTTTGATCTTCTCTCTTCTTATTATTTCTTCTTCTCTCAGTATTTTATCCATTTGTTTTTCACATTGGGTTTTCAGGATTTCTCTTATTCTTGAAAACTTTCCTCGTAAACCTCTAACTGTATAAAAAACAAGTTCTCTTTCTCAAATTTTCAGTCCTAGTAATGAACATTTCGTTTGAAGTCCATGTGATCTTGCAATATAGTCTGAAACATTTTCTTTCATTTCAAGAATTTTTACTTCGTTACTTGCATCGATTTTGCGATCTTCGGTTTTGCCAGTAAATGTGCTTTGAATATTTTGACATAGAATTTTTGCATTAGTTTTGTTAGCGAACTGAAGACTTTGGTCGTCACAAAGCGAAAGTTGAATGTATGCTACAGAATCATCATTGTTTAGTGTCCATTGTTCTCGCAATTTTGGATCAATGGGGGGTTCTTCAGTAAGCACATTTGCAATCTTCTTGAGTGTTAGCAAAGCCTTAACTTTAATACACCACTGATAGAAGGTGTCACTGTTAAGCAGTAGAATACTCGGCAGATCCCTATTCATTTTGGAATCTAAACTATGAAATCACGGCGAAACTTAGTGAAACTTTTTAATGTGTCATAATTTTAAAAAACCACGGCTGTGCTGCCAACTGTTATCCGTATAGAGTGAGATTCAGACAAAAAGTAAAGGTATATTTACAAAAAGCAGACAAATACATGCAAATTTAAAAAGAATGCCATCTGGCGGTATTAAGAAGAAAAGTCTTCAAAGCAATCCTTCCCTGGGAATGACAACAACTTGTAACCAAACTAATGGACTTTATTCAGAAACAATTTTTGTGTGTATGAATAAACTAATGCAGCATGTGGTCAACATGGCATAATAATCCATTTGAGACATTCCACAATTTAACTACCAACATTTAAAAACTTAAAAATTATTATTGTCAAGTGTATTTCCCTAATTTTTAGAAAAGCCTATATAAATACCTGATAATGTCTTAGAAACAACTGGTGAGACATTGACATCCAAAAGTGGTGAGTATGAAGTAGCATGATAAAGTCTAATAATGGCACTATGATGGAGAGTAAGCCAAACCCCTAATCCTGACGTTACCATGCAGCTGATAAACCGTGTTGCATCATTACACACAGCAAAAGAATGCTAAAAGAGAACAGTTGTACTATTATTCAATATCTAAAATTAGCCTTTTAACAGAAATTGTAAAGATTTGCAATTAAAATAATATTGAAAAAAGAATGATGTACTTTTCATCACCTATACATGATGTGCATTTAATTTTAGCATTAAACAAGGGCAGATGATTTAAAAAAGCATAGTAAAATGCTTAATATTTTGGAAAATTTACTTATAAAAACTTAGATATCCCTAAGGATAAGGCGCAAATAAAGCATAGAGATGAAAATACTATAGTTTTGGTTCTTCAAACAAGAACCTTCCTCTGTGTTTAGACTCTGAGGAAAGTTCTCGTTTAGAGAACTAAAAGTATAGTATGTCCATTTCTGTACTTTATTAATGTTTTATTCATATTTTCCCCTTTAGTATAACTCTCATGTTCCTGTTTCTAGAATACAAGCAGCTATTCTCAAAATTCATAAGAGGTTAAAACTATAACAGAGGAAGAAAGACTTTTAATGAATGAAAAATTAGAGAAAATTCAGCCATTCTAATATTCAAAGACTAAGTAGTTCGCTGGATTCTGAATAGCTTACATTGCCATCAAAACATTCACATTATAACAGAACATTCCAACTCCAAACCTGATATAAAAATTCTCTCTTAACTGAGACTTCTGACTATGCCTTATGCTTACTCTTCTCCTAGATTTTTGACTAAGATTCCCAGTCAAGGATAAAGATTTTAGAGCACGATTCATAAAATATATGGTGCAATGATGCTTCCTCCTGAAGAATTTCTATTAGAACAAATTTTTATTTTTGCATATTCCTCAATCATTATGAAAATTCATATGGGGTATACTTTTTTTTGTCAGTTTGATGTTTACCTTGTGATCAGTCTTCTTTTTTTGACAAAAGTTTAATCTTGCTACTTTATGATGAGATTTCAGACTTCGAGCACTCTTAATTTTAAAATGCAATGTTAGAATTCAGCATTATTGCCTAAAGAGCTGTCTCTTTTGAGAGATCAAGGTTGAGTTACTTTCAGACTTGAAGAACAGATATCAATTTATTTTATAGTGTTTGAATAATTCTTCCTTCTTCCTGAAGAAAAAACATCCTGTATGTTTAACTCAACCCTTAATTGAGCTGCTTGGTCAAAATATTTTTAATTTCACCAACTGAATGAAATATCATTTTAGAAAAGTATTTATATTTTTCACTTATACTCTGAAAGATGGTCATTTGACTTTCTGCTTGAGGTCAAAGAGTTAAGTTCCACAAAGTTGGATGAAAAATTGAAATTTCAACTTAAAAGTCAGATCTGGATATCAAAATAAATGCAGGATATGCATAATTCTGCAATGGTGATTTTTTTTTCCAAATTTGTTTACAACAGCAGTAATCAAAGTGAAAATAAAAAAATTTGTAGATTCATATAAATTTGCAAACAGTCTTTTTTAGGAAAATATAATAAATTATGTGAAACTTATATTTGTGCTAGATTTGCACATTTTATAAGGGTATATATATATTTTTTCTCACTCGCTTTGCATACATTTTACTTTGACTTATATTAGTTGTAAGTTAAGTAACTATCAAAATATGAAAAATTTTAAAAACCATACTTTCCAAACAAATTAAAAAGAAGAAAATATTCTTGCCACCTCATCCTTAAATGAAAAATTAAAGGAAATTTTTGGTGCTAATAATATATTTTGAAAGTGATGCGCCCACATTTCTCATTTTATATGTAACAAATACAAAATTATGTCCTCATTTTCCCAGTACTTGAAAAAAATATTATTTTAGAAACACTTCTTTTTTCTTGTTTTCTTCATTTTACTTTTTTATTACAGGGTGCGTAGCCAAATTATTCAACAAAAAATAAGCACCTTTTAAGCACTTTTCAAGCATTCAAAAAATATTTTTAAGCACTTTAAAAAAATATGATAATTAGGCATGGTTGGAAAGTGTTTGATAATTGTCGGTTCTATCTTGTTTTAACCGTCATGTTAAAAAAAAAAACCTTTTGGCATTGTTTTTGACAGTTGTAAAAAATAATGAAATTTTAAATCATGTAAAATGAATGGCATTTTCATGCGCTTCGGACTGATAATACGCCGAAATAGATTGGGGTTGAATGAATTGTGAAACGTTGAATAGAACAATATGAACTGTGTCTTTTTGCATAATTCGTAGCAAAAATCAACATGGTAAAGGAAAAACCTCGTTTTGAAAAACGGAAAATTAAGCACTTTTTAAAAACACCCAATGAAAAAACCACCTTTCAGAGCTTTTGAAAAACGAAAATAAGCACCTTTAAGCACAAGTGGCTGGGTGGCGCAATTGGTTTGTTGTCGGCCTTCTGAGCCCAAGTCTGCGGGTTCGATCCCCGGCCCAGACACCGGATTTTCGGGATGCAGAAAATCCTCAGCGGCCATGTCGTATGATTATGCGGCATGTAAAAGATCCCTGGAGTGCCTTATTGGCTCTTGGCATTTCCGGCAAAATTAAATTCCTAGTGCACTTTAGCATCCAAATAGAGTCTCGGTGCTGCCATCTAGTGTGGCAGAAACTAGACGTCCAAATTAACATGACCAACGGTATCTCACCCATTGTGGTGGTCCTGAAACAGTGGATACCACCTCTAGAGAACGCACTAGGTCTGCTCATCGGCAAGACCGATTGTGCAGCTCATTGGAAATATAAAAAAAATAAAAAACTTTAAGCACTTTTTAAAAACGCTACGCATCCTACCCTATATTAGTTATTTTGTTAACACGAAAGTGGTAAAATTTGAATTGGCAACATTATATTTTACAATAAAATGTCACTAAATTTTGCTCATAGGGATCAAGAAATGATTTAAGATTGTATTGCCATTCAACACAGAGTTCCAGTGGAAATTTTATTAAGTTGAAAAAGGGTTAAAATTTAGATGTCAATGAATTTGTTTTGTATGAATAGAAATGAAGGTGTTATTTAGGACAAAGTGGCTAAGTTTCACTGTATAAAAAACTTATTCATAATACTTGTTTATAAAATTACCAGACCTGCCTAGGGTCTCCCTAATAAGTTTTCTTTATCTGAGTCTATTGGATGCTTGTTGATTCCAATTAGTCACCATTGATGATTTCATATATTTTTTAATGTCGCGAAGAAATCTGAGTGAAGGTCTTCCTTGTTTTCTAGTGCAATCTAGCTTGTTAAGAGTTTACAAGCAAGTGGAATTGTTATCTTGTGATGTAAATGAGTGTCCAAGGTATCTTATTTGGTTCAATTTGATGAGTTTGACAATTTCGGGATGTTCATATTGATTATAAATTGCATAATTCTAAAGAATTTATCAGACATTATTCACAGAACTTAAAATTATGTATATATATATTTTTTACCTTACTTTAATGTAAAGATTTTATAAAAACAAGCTTGGCTATTAGCAATAAATTTAAATTGAGATTATTTTGAGAAGTATAAGAAAAAATTACCTCTTCCTGTATTGATGTGGTGTTTAAAATGTATACCATATTTTCGCAAGAACACCAAAGTTTTCCAGTAACCGCCAACATTTTACTGACAGTGGAATTTTTATTTCCAACATTTATAACTGCTGGTTCATTAGGATACCACCCTGCTCCTAAAAATGAAATAACTGTCAAGTAAAATAATGAAATTACAATTCTTTTTACTAAAGGTTTTACAAATGAGCAAGTTTAGGAATCTCGTCTCGTGTATAGTATTTCTCTTTCTAATAACATGGGAAATCTGATTTTATAAAGCAAAAAAAAAAAAAAAAAAGCATTCATTCACATTCCCAGAAGAACAATAAAAAACCTTAAATTAATGCAAGTAACTTTGAAAACTAAATATTTAAATAGAAATTTATAAAATTTTTCCTTTTAAGATAAACAATCTAAAAACATAGTTTTCAATTTATGCCTTATTACTCTTAACTGGATAATAAAATTTATGTATTTAGAAATAAAGCTTATTTTAGAAACATGCTCACCATTTTCTTATAAATTTATTTGTTAGTGGTACGTAAAGAGCCATTCTCTTAAAACGTGGAATCACAAATCATTATGCAAACAAACGAGCAAGTATTCTATCAGATATTTAGTTTCAATCAGTTTGCACTCTAAATTTGAGTTTAGGATACAGTGAAAATGGTCTGTTCATCATTGTTATTTATTAAAATGTAGGAGCTCATTGAATTTTTGAGCTACAATAAAATTACAACAAAAGACAAGTCAAAAACCCCACCATTTTGTTGATATCAAATTGATTAATCCTTGATTAAAACTGTAATAAAACCATGGCTTCTTTAGGTCAGGGAAAAAAATAACTTAAAGGCTTCTGCAACAATTTTTTGAAAATTAATATTAAACTTAAAGTAACTATCAGTTTCTCAATACATTTTGCTTAGCTGAAATCAAATATGTTTTCAAAATAAATTTAAAAGAATTTTTAAGAAAAAAATTAATAACATACTAAAAACTTAAAATAACTTATTGAATATTTTTACCAAAGAGACCGCTTTATTTTTACACATGTGCTTTATACCTTTATGCATTCCAAAACAATTTTCTTCAGTACATGGACAAGCAATCATATAAGATAAAAAAAATCAGTTTAATGCTTTTCAAATGTAATATTTAAAAATATGTTACTTTGTAGTAAATAAATAACACACATTGGGTAAAGTATATATATATATTCGTCAGTGAAGCTCTACAATATGACAATCAAAAATCTATCAAGAAGATCAAAAGCATCAAGAAAATCGTGTTGTTGTACATAAAAAAATGAACTTTCTTTAAAGAAGCTGAATTTTTAATAAAAGAAGAATAACTTATATCTGCAGGAATTACCAGACTTTTGGTACAAAATACAATAAACCCAATCATTTGACCAAAAATTAATAGTAACAGTAAAAGAGGTCAGATAACACCGCAATATCTTCAGGGTTCCCACTCTTTTAACAATTAAGCACTTTTAAAGACTTTTTTTTAAAAAAATTAAGGACTTTTTTGAAAAATTAAGGACTTTAAAAATAGTATGATTGTTTATCATCGAATATACATATTTCACCAGTGACAGCACCAATTATTTACCTTTCTTTAAAAAAAACAATAAATAAAAAGATAATATAAAACAAGTTTATTATAATGTAAGCACTGATATAATTGTATTAATTAACAGGGCTCGCCAAAGAAGTACCAGGCAATTTTGCAAACCAGGGTCAGTTTTTTTAAAAACATTTTTAGATTGTCGAAGGTTAACATCATCAACAAAACTAATCCATATTCCACTTTTAATGATTTCATTGAAATTGAATTGTACAATTAAGAGCAGAAATTAAGATTTACGATTTTTTCATGTATATTTAAAAAAAAAGAGTAAATAAAGAAATGTGGCAAAAACATTGAAAAAATTATTACAACAAGTTTTTATATTTCGCTACTAGACCTGCATCACATATTCAGTTTTCAAGTAAAATCAGGCCATACATAGCTAAGCACCTTAAATCATTCCATTTTTTTTTCATTAGGCTTAACTTAATATTTTTTTAACCCTCTTGGTGGCGCTTACTTGAAATAGTTTTACTCTTAGAAGGGCGAACCTATTTGGTGTCTTGGGGTATTAATCCACTTTTAGATGAACCTGCCCCCACCCCTCTAAGAAGCTGCAGCTATATGGAGGAGATAATGATATAGGGAGTTAAAGAGGACGAAGGACCATAAATTGCGCTAAAGGGGGAAAGTGTGAGATGAATAACGACCTTTGACCTCTTCCACACTTACACATCTGGACAAAGCTTCAGGGAAGTGGAGCTCAGAGGGGGATTTTGAATACTTGTTTACTGGCGAAGTTCAGTTTACTTACGGGCGTAAGTACGCCAAAATAAAGCCTTTACTTTCATAAAACCACTCTCAATATTTTTAGCCAATAAATTATGTAAAATATTTCTGCGTAAGTCATACTGTATTAAATTTAAAAGAAACAAGTTTCTAAAAATAAATATTGATTTAAAGCGATACTAAATGAAAAATATTTCACTTAATTTTACATTTTATTATTCCCAGAATATTATTATTATTTATTTAAATAATGAATATGATGAATCATGAATGTATTAATAGTCTACAGCAATTCTGACTGTAACCATTTTTAAAGATGTCTATTAAGTGCCTACCAAAATGTAACGAAAAGTGTAAAAATATCAGCTGTGAATTTCAGTTGAATTTAATTTAAAATACTACAGAGTAGCTTAAGTGTAATATGAAAGGAAGAACAGATAAATCATGAAATGTAATAGGCCTGTTTTTTAAGCAAACATCGTTGAACTTAAAGATATATTAAAAAGAAGAAGAAAATTATTACAAGTTCTTTTAGAAAAAAAAAGGTAAATTTTGATAAATAAAAAGCGCAAAAATAAAAAAAATGCTTTTAATACTAAAATACAAAACTGTAATACGAAGTAATGATGTAATGTTTGCTTTAAAATTTTTATGAATTCAACTGACGATTCACTTTGGAAACATGAGCTCAGATAGAAATTACTTCTAACAAACAATTCTTCTAATGTACAAGAATTGATTTTGTGATTACAAAAAATTATTAAATTCGCTTTTGAGAAAGCTAAACTTTAATTCTTTAGAACTAATTCAAGAATTGAATGAATGCAGAAATTGCATATTTTATATCCAAATATAAATTATATGTTTTCAACCATTTAGATTTGGAATGAATTGAAACTGTATTGGAATGAAACAAACATTTTTGTTAACATTTTAAGTAGTCTCAAATTAGATTTTAATATTAATTGCATTATACAAGTTAGAAATATTATACAAGTTATAAATGTGATTGCAAAAACATTTATATTAAATGCAAAAACATTATATTATATATATATATATATATGGATTTATCTTTATATGTTCTCATACGTTTCCTTTTTAAAATCTTATAAAGAACTGCTACAGACAAATTTTATGATATTTATAATTGTTAGCTTTTTACTAACCATTATTTACTGGCATTGGGAAATTACATATTATTTTTTTTTTTATTAAATTCTGTATTTTCAATTTTTTAAAATATTNTGAAAAAAAAAAAAAAACAATAATAATAATAACTTTAAAGAAATAGCATATATAAATATTTAGTCATTATTCTCAAAGTAAGTTTGTGCTCTTACTATTGCAAAGTTCGTGTCCATGAGTTTAGTGTGAGGCAATAATATGTTTTGTGACCAAAATTCACAAATGCACATAAAGAAAAAAATAATAAAAGGGAGAAAATTTTCTCTCTCTTCTTTGTTTTTAATTTTCTACAAAATAAAGTAGCAAAATGGAGCAAAAATAAATATTATAAACCTTAAATTTTCATGGTTCTTTTTTTTAAAAAAAAATCATGTAACCGCTAAAACAATAAGAAGCTATTTACTTAACTTAATCAAATAATTCCTATATTTCTCTTCACATCTTTTATTCTTTGCATGGATTTTTGCTATCTCAAAATGAAACTTTTGTAAAGTCACTAAAACAACTTTCAGATTTACTTGATTCAGTATGCTACTAAAATTTTGAAAAAAGCTGTTACCTTTTATCTCATGGCTATACACGGGTGTTTTATAAAATAATGTGCGACAGTAAAAATGGATTAATAGTAGTCTAGTTTGTTGCACAATCTTGTCAAATTTGAATACTGATTAACACAAATGAATCACAAAACTAACATAAAAGAGTCACAAGAGAGGAAGGGGGAAAGGGAAGGAAAAGAGAAATGCACTGGAAAAGAAGAACTAGTAAGAATAGTTTTCGTAAAAAGCATACCATAAACTATGTAAATTTAAAACTGATTCGATGTGATCTAACATTTTTGAAATAAAAAAATTTGCAAAAAGTTGAAAGTACTTATTTTTTAAAATGCATTTTGCTGAAAAAACATTATTTGTACAATATTAGATCGGTAGGTGATATTTTTAAAAAAAGAATTTTTGTTTCCAATTTCAGATGAAATAATAAACATTTACTTTTTACTGTAAAATTTCTAACCATATCTCAATTTCAAGCATAAAAAAAAATTATAATATTTAAACTTATTCAATATTTTTATGTTCAATAATTAAGAAAACGTAAAAAAATGTTCATTGAATAAAACAACTTCATTTAATTTCTATAATGTCATTGCTATTTCATAAATTCGTTTTCCTCCCAAAAAAATAAGAAAAGGAATAGCTATAAAAAAAACAACTTTGTCAAAATACTCACGAATATATGTCAATATGTTTGTTTTTACATTTTTACAACTATTTGTATATATATATTATCACATACATAATTTTTTTTTACTAGTCTGTATTTATTTTGCATATATTTTTGTTATCTCTTTTATCCTTCTTTTTTTTCCCTTAATAAATGCTATTTGGATATTATTTAGTATTTATTTTCAAAATTATCAAAGTGCTACTCATTAGTTTTCTGAATCAGAATTTTCATCAAAAATATTTAACTGTTATTAAATACAATTTTTATTTAATATCACTTAAAAGTTTGACTGAAAAAAATTTTATTTTCTTCTTTATTAATCTAGTTAATTACTTTGAAATACATTTTACTTGTGTGCACATTGATTTTAAAGTATATCATTCAATAGTAATTTTCATTTTGCCTTTTTCATTTATAAAATATATTTTTCGCCAACTGCTATATATATATATATATNTATATATATATAAATTGGAAAGTTTTTTAAAATCTAGTTTATGATTATTAATTGTGCACCAATTTTCCTTCACACTTTTTCCAGGTTTAGTATTGGCAGTGCTATCTGAAATAGCTCTGGCGTGTTAAAAAGTTTTTTTTAATAATTTTTAAATATTTTTTATTTATTTATTTATTTATTTTACTTTTTTTGAATTATTTTAATCATATTTCAGCCTTTTATAGTTTTTCTGTCAATTACTGATTTTACCACATTTCTCTTTATTTTCCATTGCAAAAGAAATCCCGCAAAGACTTTTATTTCAAATAAGATGGTCTTTTTTAAGCAGTCATGTCCCCTATTCTTTCTAAATAAGTCAACTAAACTGGATCAACATCATTTTGACGTTCTAGCCAATTCATTACAATATCTAATGAATTACATGTTTCTATATGAGAAGATCCACTATCTTGAACTTGATCACCTACTTCTTCCTCTTCGTCTGTGGAGTTCCGAGTTTCATTCAAAATTTCAGCAGCAATTTCATCATCATTTAAAATTTGAAATCCTGGGTCGTTTTCAGTGTCTCGACACCAACCTTCTATTTTTTTCTGCTGTATAACCTGGCATCTTTTCATCTGGAAAATATACTGGTTCAAAAACTTCAGTTTCATTTGTTTTTCTGTTAAAAATTTTATGCCAAGATTTAAGATTCCAAGCACTGTAATCACTAATCATTAACCATAAGTGACAACTACCCATCCTCCAATTATAGACCATTAGCACTTATTTATTGATAAAATCTTTCCATATTCCAACAATTGTAGACAGTCAAAATTAAGCTCGCATTCTTGGACTATAATTTTCAGTTGAAGAGGTCTAAAGGGGTATGCAGGTTTAACTGCATAACAATACATGTATGTATAGCTACTATAAGAAGACTGCTAAAAAAGGTTGTAAATTAAATATGGTTTTCAGGTGTAGTCGATATTAATTATTCCTCTAAATTTAGAAAAACAGCATGTAAGTTAAAAAGTATTCTAAATCTTTAAAAAAAAAAAAAAATAATAATTTGGACTTAGTTTGGATAATAATGGTTATATATATATATATATATATACAGGGTGTCTCAGTTAAACGCTTCAGAACTCCTAAGTGGGGTAGCGTGCATCCTGATGACTCGAAATCATATAGCAATGCGGGGTCGGAAATGCTTTCCTGAAGCGGTGATATACACAGAAGCACCATAAAGAAAAGAGACTGCAAGTGAAAAATTGTTTTAATAATACATTGAAGAAATTATATGGCCTCTTCGGTCACCCGCCCTATCATGTCTTGATTTCTGGGGTCACATGAAAACACTGGTTTATGACACCCCTATTGACAAGGCTGAGGAGGTGGTTGCAAGAATCGCAGCAGCTGCCGAAGAAATTCAAGATATGCCTGGAGTATTGCAGAATGTTCGAATGTCCATGCGCCAGAGATATGAGGTGCACATTTTAGCCAGTGGCAGAAACTTCGAACACTTACTTTGACCCATGTATCATATAATTTTTTCAATGTATTACTAAAGCAATTTTTCACTAACGATCTCTTGTCTTTATGGTGCTTCTGTGGACATCACCGCTTCAGGGAAGTATTTCCGACCCCGCATTGCTATATGATTTCGAGTCATCAGGATGCACCCTACCCCTCTTAGGAGTTCTGAAACGTTTAACTGAGACACCCTGTATATATATATATACGTATATAATTTAAATTTTTTATTTTAATTTCTGTATTAAGCCTTTTATTTCATGTTTAAGAATTTAAAATAAAAGAAAGAAAGCGTTATAAGTAAATACCAAAAGCTTTTTTTGAATTAAATTTCGTGAAACTCACATGTCTCAATTAAATTCAATGTTCGCTTAAAAAAATTTACGAAGAGCCATGGAAATCCAACGAAATCATTAAAACAAAACTTAATGTAATTGATCAGTGTTAGTCAATGAATGTTCATAAAGAGAATCGATTTTTAAGCCGCCTCTGAGGCATTTTTCCATTAGCCCCTGGAAAAGTAGAACTGACTTGTTAACAGTATTATGGCTATTATTCTTTAATGTCTTCTAATTTTTTTTTCATTTAGATATTCCATTATCATAGCCCAGAAATAAATCTATAAAAGAAAAAGATGTACAGAACGTTTTATTCTGAGTAACTTTTGATCTTAAAGTCAAAAAATTCTGAGCTAAGATGCAATATCCCTAACATAACGAATAATATTCTATATATAGATATAACAGTGAAGATGATAATTTAGGTTTCAAAACCGCACACAAACATGACAAATACGATAAATTTGGAACCGTTTTTAACAATTTCAGTACTATTTTAACATGTTTTATCTCGCTTTTAGAAGAAATTATTATAAACCAAAAATTCTCTGCTTTAATTAATAAAATTCATTCATTCGAGGATGAAATCTTATAAAAAAATAATAAATAAACAAATAAAATAAATAAAAATTAATAGCGATGCTTTCTTATTTTAACTATTTTTTCAATTTTAATTAAATGATAATATCTTATATAATATAGTATTTGACCATTAAAAATTACACATTTTTATACGTTCAAAAATATATGATTTACAATGGAAAAACTGTTAAAAATATTTTCATCATAAAATTATTTTAGAGTAAATAGGCGCAAATAGTATTTTATTCCCACTTTGGGGAAATCCTCAAAATTGAAAAATAAGATTTAGAGGTTCACATTTTTAATTTGTCTTCTAATTAATCGAATTAAACCAAAACTTATCAGCTATTCCTACATAAAGCTATTTCTACATTTATTTCTTTACTTATTATTTATTTCTTACATGTGCTTGGAAAAAAAACTTTGACTCTAAGTTATAAAAATAAGATTCTATCAGTATCATACTTATGTTAACAATCGGAAGAATTTAAAAAAAAGAGAAAAAAGAAAGGAACCAGAGAATATTGAGAAAGAATATCTTTTAGCGAAAAACAGCCAATTTTGTAGCTACCCTTTTAAACTAGTCCCTTTAAAATGTACTCTCTACTTCCTCCTGTGACGAATTTTGGTAAAAGGAGGAGAGTTCCATAATTGATGTCACTGCTTGAAGGGGATAGAAATTTTTGCGCAGATCAGGCCGACCCTGTTTTTAAACCTAGTCTTTAAATTGCTCTCTTTTCTGCCTGTCATCTTACAGCAAAACATTTCTGGAGAAAAATTATTGCATCATAGTTTGCAATGAGAAACATATTTATACATGTAATTTGAAAATGGAGGGATAGAACAGAACTTAACTAACACTAAACAAAATAAAAGCAAACATTTTAGTTTTAGATTTTTCCTTTTGTTTAATGTAGCATTTTATTTAATTAATTTTTATTTGTTAATTTTGTGCGTTAATTTGTATTGTGTAATTTTGTTCCTGTAAATAAAATGTGATCTTTTATTGGCTGTAAAAAGAACTTGAATCAAAAATATTGGAAGTAAGCAAATATTTGTATTAAATCAATCTTTCCGCATATATGTAACATTTATAATGCTTATATATTTCCGCATATATGTAACATTTAAACTGTACAACAAATAGATTTATTTAGTAAATTTGATTATTCATGCATAATTTTATTTTTAATTCCCAATTTTTGTTCTTATTTTATAATTAAAATATCGTACTTAAAATTTTTTGAAATTTTAAAGAAGAGTTCTCTTTCAAATTTTATAACAGTTGATCTAGATTGCTGGAGTAAGTTAAAATTGTTGATATTATTTAAAATACATGTTTTGATTTCATTTTACAATTAAGTGAAGAAAAAAAGTTTAAAATACTGTTTTACAGTAAATCGTAAAATAATTTACTCTGTAACAAAGCATACCTAGTTCTCTTTTATAGATGTAAATTTCTCCATCAATGACTGAGACAAAAACTTTATTATCCATGTATCTGAAAAGTAAAACTGTTTGAATAAATGTCAAAAGAAGAAAAATACAAACCAATAATTAATTTAACTTTCAATAATAACATACAGTGAGCCAAAAAAAAACCTGACCATCCTGAAAAACTTTTGATCTAAAGATCGAATTTTCATGCTCTAGGACACATTGGTTAAGGTCCAAAGGGTGAGCTAAAATATGCTAATTAAACAGTGCTCACGATATTTTAAGTTACTAAATCACAAATGAAAACTTACTTTACATATTTGGGCTTCTGACCCCCGAAATATAGTGGGTAGCTGTAATCTATGAAATATGGTACCCATAGACCTGGGATGGGCAAACTACGGCCAGCGGGCCAACTGTGGCCCGTCGGAAGGTTTTATCCGGCCCGCAGATAGAATTTCAACTTGCCGATATTTGGCGAATATAAACGAGGTGCATTTACATCCATTATTTTGTCTACTTTATAAAGCTATTTTTGTTCTTTCCTTTTTAACAAAGTACTGATTACGTTTTTACTTTCTCTAATGGTGGAATTGATAGAAATAGTTAGCACAGACAGCTTCAATTGGTAAAATGTTGAAAGCAGAAGTTCTTTATAGAATAACCGCAGATTAGCTCCAACAAGCGTTTGCATTTCTCGAGGTTCAGACGTATGGAATCTACATAGGTGAATTGTGCTTCACACGTGGCAGACAGCGCATTTTAAGCTCCAACGAGTGGATTTTTCTGCCGGTGCTAGTTCTAACTTTATTTTTTGAGTATGGAAAGATTGCAGACATGCTGTTTCTAAACATGCCAAAGTTTGAGTTTTGCAAATCATTACCAAAAGCTAGTTTCCAAAATTTTATATCTCATGCCTAGAAAATCAGTGCTATGTTTGCTTCATCTTATATATGTGAACAAGTGTTTTCAACTATGAATCTTAGAAAAATCATTTCGTAAGTAGACTAGCGGAAGCATTTAGCCTCATTCCTCAAAATAAGCACATCTCACTTCGAACCTCAATATAAGGAACTTTTAAAAATGAAATCGAGATTTCATTCATCTCATTAAATATTTAAATTAAAACTTGTATATCGTTTATTTTATTTTAAAAGTTTTTACTCGGCCCACCAAACTTTTTTTTCCTTGATTTTTTGCCCTCGACCAAAAAAGTTTGCCCATCCCTACCATAGACTGATCAGGAGAACAATCCAAATTTTGAACCCCTTAATGTTAATTTTATTTTTTGCATATTTCACTATATCTCGAGAACTTTTTAAGCAAATTGAGCAATTTTCGCACACAATTATAAAATTCATTTATCCAAAGATAATTCCATGCAAAAAAATTTTTCAGTAAATATTATTATTTTATTATAATAAGTTGAAAAAATTTTAAATTTAAAAGTATAAAATTTTTTTCTTCATTTTAAAGTACATAATGTAACATGGCAAAGTACAAAATTTGAGCCAAATCAGTTAAATAATAGTTTCTGAGAAGTTGAATTTTAAAGAAGTCGCATAGTTAAAATTCGATTTCTCAGGAACTATTCTACAGATTTTGCTCAAATTTTGTATTTTTCCATGTAGAATTACAAAGTTTAAAACGAAGAAAAAAATTTTATACCTCACAATTAAAAAAAATTTCGACTATCTTTTAATAAAATAATAAATATCTACTAAAGTTTATATTTTGCCTGGAATTATCAGTAGATAAACGAATTTTATAATTGTATACATAAATTTTTCTATCTGCTTAATAAGTTCTCGAGCAAATAATCAAAAAATAAAATTAGCATTAAGGGGTCCCAAGTTTGAATCACTCTCCTGATCAAACTATGGGGATTATATTTCCCAGATTGTGGCTAACCCCTATATTTAGGGGGTCAGAAATCCAAATCCATTGAAAAAAGGTATGTTTATTCAGAGAAAGTACATTTTTGTGTCTGATTTCATAACTTTAAATATCCTCAGCACTAATTAATTAGCATATTTGAACTCACTCTCTTGAACCATTAATGACTTCCAGAATGTGAAGCTTTTATCATTAGATCAAAAATTATTCAGGGTGGTCCTTTTTAGTGCACTGTACATAAAAATAAGCACATTTTTAACTGATGTTGAACTATAATTGTTTAAAAAAGTGTCAACTTAACAACTAGTCAAATTTTGATTTTGTGACATAGTTAAGTTAACTGTTAACCACACTTAAATCCAAAACATAAATATTTTCCTCATAAAAGCTATTTCTTTGCCCTGAATGTAAACAAAAACCAGTTCTGAAGTGTGCAAAACAGTTTTCCTTTCCTCATAAATATACAAACCAAAGCTCGTTATATGACATAACCCATTGAACCACTTTCCTTGCTTCAGAGATCGTATTACTTATGAGGCAAATATAAAAATCAAATTGAAACAGTTAAAACACTCTGCCTATTTCATATTGTGCACTGGCTGAATGTTTTGAAGAAAAAAAAGAAGCTTTCCAACTTTATGAAATTAATGGTCAAAGCAAGTATTATGACTGGGGAATTTTTATAGAATTTGCTACTATCTTGTATTAAATAAAAATTCTAATTATGAAAACAGTATTAGAGAATTTAAGGAAGCAACTCATAAAATGGTTGACTTCATTTAAAATAAAAATAAGTGATTTAAAATCCAAGTGAGTGAGTAAATTTTTTTGAATCTCTAGAATCAAAAAAAAAAAAAAAAAACAGTATTAATAAATTAATTTATGAAATAATATATACAGAAATATTCACAATAACATGGATGACACCTGTTGCATTTCATTCAAAAGATTTTATTTATAGCAGTATATAATTAAAAGCTGAAACTTAAAGAATTTTAGTTAAATCAGCCAACACACTGGGAGACTCACTGGATTATAGTAGTGATTTATAAGAGCTTCTGAATTATCACACACAGTGGTTGTTAAAATAACTTTAAAATAAATTTACTGCACCAGGAATATTACATAATAACATACATTTTGCTAATATATTTTGCTCATGTAGGAGTGATTTGGCATCCTTAAAAAAACCAAAGAAGCTTAATGTAATGAACACAGTCACTAATGAGAAATCCACATTTGCAATTAGATTTCCCGTCACCGTCAAAATGTTAAGATGAAAGATACAAACTTTGTATGTTTAGCAAGCTGAAACCGCTATTGCCATAATTTTTCAGCAACTGAGAATTTTTTTAAATAAATAGATACATGTTTTTTGTTAAAGTTAGCAATAATATACAAAAAAGGTAAAATGAAAGAGCCCTTTTATTCATATCTGGTATCAACACAAAGAAAAAATAAATATCATTTCACCTTTATGCTTATTAAATTGTGTACGGATGATTACCAGTTCTCTTGCTCCTTACAAGAGAGAAATTCTGTTATATTTAAAAATGCTTCAATAGAATGAGCCTTTTGCTATACGCATATCTGCAATCCGTCCTTACTTCTTTATAGCTTTCTATTGAAATCAATATTCAGAGTTATTGATTATGTTAAAAGCTATTGTACTTCACTTAATTTTTTTTTATTGTATCTTAGAAAAGCTACCTAATTTCACAAAAACTACCTAATCTAAACATTTGATGCCTCTTTGCCTCCTCGTGGTAATTTCTGAAAACAAATTGAGGATTTAGCCATGGGCTACCCCTTCTCTCCCATTCTTTTTGACATATTCTAGCATTAATTCAAAAAAAAAAGTTTTTAAATTGTTTAAATTCTCACGGCAAAAGAGATATGTTGTCGATACATTAGTCTCAGTCAGATACCCTCTCCATGTGATCAATTTGGAGTAAAAAGAAATGATCAAGTTATTAGAATCAAAGGGTTAGAATCCATAATATGTTATAATTGTTCTGAAAAAGGACATTATTCTCGTGACTGCTTTAAGCCAAAGCATCCAAAATTTTGTACATTCTGTCACACAGAAGGACAAGTTACAAAAGATTGTCCAAAGAAAATTCGCAAACCATCAGTAAACGTTTCAACACTATCACCCATTGAAAATCTTACTACAGAACAAAACCCGTTTTCTGGAAATCAGAAAACCGGAAAACCAAAAAACCAGAACGATATTCGATACATTTTCCCGCCAATTTAAAAAAAAATTTTTCCTCATAAGATTTTAGGATTTTTCTTTCTATTTTGAAAGATGTTTACCTTACCATCATTTTGGAAATAATCATTAGTGTATTACTTCGTTTTAAGATTATTTCCAATTTTTTTTTTAGTTGGGTTTAACAATAAAAAAAACGGCTTTTTGTAGCGATTCAGAAAACCGGAAAAATCAGTTATCCGGAATAGCGATGGTCCCGCTCGTTCCGGATAATCGGTTCCCCACTGTACTAGTAACACAGTTCTTGTACATGGAATAGCTACAAGTGCTTTAGTAGATACAGCTGCCGACATAGCAATGATTAAATACGCATTCTCTAAAGAGATAGGAGTCTATAATATGCATAATGGTGACGTTACGATCATACGAGAAGTTGGTGGGTTGAAAAAATCATTAGGCGCTTGTGTAGTAAACTTAACCATTGACAGACTAGTGCTAAATGATGCAAAACCAGGGACGTAGGTAAGGGGGGTGTCAGGGGCCCAAAAAAAAGTTATGCTCATTTTAGCAGAACAAACAAACACAAATCGTTTTGAATAAGAACGTGTTTTGTAATAAAAGCATACTAGCCAATCACAAACACTGTTCTTAGGACCAATCAAATGTCTGTAACTATAGTTTAGGTTATTTGGATGGTAAAAGAGTTATTGTTGTAGAAATATTTTGTGGAATCATGCATATTAGTACAATTAAATAGAGTATTGCTGTTTTTGAATATTTAAAGTCCTTTTTTTTAATTAAACTAATTATAAACAATGTCATCCACAAGAAAAACTAATTGGACATCTACAAAAAGAAGCCGAATTGTCATATTGAGAGAAAATGGCCTCTCTTATGCTGAAATTGCAAGACAAGTTGGTGGTTCAGTGACTTGTTCTGGTGTACAAAAGTTC